AGCGCCGGCTGGCCGAAGCGCTTCGGAATGACGGTGAGGAGCCCTCCCCCGCGGCCGCTCCGAAGCGCCTGCCGCTAAAATGTCGCTCCGAAGCGCCTGCCGGGAACATCGCAATGCGATTGCTTTTGCGATCGCAAAAAACGAATTGCTATGCGGATTTGTCGTTAAACGGGGCGCTCGTTATGCGAGGCACCACTGTATCTTTGTATCACAGCTGTGGTCTCCTTCTGGGGCGCTTTCCCTGCACTAATTCTCCATACAGGAGATCTTTTGGAATCCGACCATCAGCCATTCTCATGACATGCCCAAGCCAACGTAGACGTTGCTGTTTCAGTAATGTATACATGCTAAAAATTCCAGCTCGTTCTAGGACTACTCTGTTTGGAACTTTATCCTGCCAGGTGATACCAAAAATTCATTGGAGACAACACATATGGAATGTGTTCAACTTCCTGCACAATCATGCAAAATAAATTCTTGACGAGAACTACATTATAGGGAATAAATTTAATGGAGATAATGAAATTAGGTTTCATGGACAATAATCTGGCATTGTGAAAACTATACGGGTGGAACAAAGTGTACTTAGAATAACATACTAGCAATAAACACAGTGTTCAGTTTTTATATGATACTTAAACAAGGCCTGTTTCTTCATTGTACACTAAAATCCAAAACAAAGTTGATGTACTACATAAAACATTAAGAAACAGTGCCCAAAATTCATGTGTATGTGTGCACACCTGAGAAGCAACACATTTACATCATTGGCAGCAGTAGATTGCTACCAATCTAGTCTTATGTGTGAGCCGTGGATACGCTGAAATTGAAAAATTAAGTATAGTGGATTCAGTATGTGGTGCTTCCAGTAAGAAGTCTGTAATCTCTCTTGTCTCCATTTGAACCAATAGAGCAGATGTGTACTTGTGTACACATCCACACAAACAGCACACACATGGAGACAGAAGCAATTAATGCATATATATAACACACACATATATATGCACACACATGGAGTAGGATCCCTGCTATCCACAGGGGATCTGTTCCATGATCTATTGCAAATGCCTGAAACCACGGAAAGTAGCAGACTCTGTATACAACATACAAGGAGGTGGGACAAAGGCCACAAGACCAGTTCCCTTGTGTCTTGTATACAGGGCTGTAGTAAACCATTGATAACTGCAATCATTAGTACTATGTATGTATAGTATCTTTTGTACAGGGAATCATTCTCTCCCTTGAAATAAACACAGCAAATCAAGTTCTCAGTAAGCAATACAGTTGTTAACAGTAAATCAAGATACTCTGGGGTGGTCACCTTTAAGGGCCATGGGTCAATACTTTATTGTTTGCTTTGTGTTATATGGAATTTAATATGGCTCATACCACAACTCACCAATTGTCTCCACATGATGCAGCTTTGTTTATTGATTCTGATATTGCAATGCACGTCAGGTTATCTTTATGATTAGAAGCTTGAAAGATCTCATGACCGATCTCTTGAACATGGGTAGAAATCACCACAAAATAGCCAAGTGAGAAACCAACCATGATGTAATTATCTCCATATCTGTGGATATATTAACAATATAACTAATAGCATTCAGGCTAAATGGCCACAGAAAGCAGCATTTCAGGATGCAGTCCACACTGATATCTGGCTGTAAAAAAGAGCGTTTCTCAAAATAAACTGGCTATAATTCTATTGTATTTGTACACTGACATAATGCAAATTGGCACAAACCTCAACAGAGAAATGCAGCAAGTTAAATTAATTTGCAGCAATTCACCACCAAAATTCAGACCAATTGCACTATACTGTACTAGCAGGTGTAACTAATAGGCAAACCTCAACAGAGAAATGCAGCAAGTTAAGTTAATTTGCAGCAATTCACCACCAAAATTTAGACCAATTGCACTATACTAGCAGGTGTAACTAATAGGACTTTTGTCGTTATTGCTAAGAGACAAAGGATCGATTGCATTTATCCCTTCTCAACTGCAAGTTTGTATTAATCTACAAAATATTAAAATCTACTTGACTGTAACACAAACTCATCCAAAAACAAATTAAACCTCATCTACAGGTAATTAGCTGAGCCTGTTCTTGGAGGTGTCTGATTTGGCTATGATGACACATGCCTTCATCACATGTTGCTTGAATTACGGTAATGAACTCTACATGGGTCTGTTTTTGAAGATGGTTCAGAAATTTCAGTGGGTTCAAACTGTTGCAGCTAGTTTGGCTTCTTATTCCTGTCCTGCTGGCAATGGATGAAAGTCACCCTTTAGGTACCAAATTTCAACAATGAATTGTCTGTGTTTTTAATGTATCTTGTTTCTAATGTAACTGTTTCTATTACATATTTGTTTTCAGTATAATAATTTACTGTGTTTGTAGCCAATTTATATTTATATTTATATTTTGTGATCTGCCTTGGGTCCCTTTATTGGATGAAAAGTATCATAGAAATGAAAATATAAACAAACAAATAAACAAATACGTTGCTGAAAAAGACGCTAGTCCTTAAATGATAACATTGTTAGCTTTCAAACTGCCGTAAGATTGCTTTTGCTAGCAGAGCATAACACAGCCAGAACTTAGAAACGTTTAAAAATTTTGACCACCCTCCTTCAAGCTGTTAGAATTTTAGTGAGCTTCTTACAATTTATAAGAGACAATGTTTCCATAACGGTGCTGAAATGCTAACTCTATTGGGTTATCTGGATCTTTGTAATTATAAAAGCAGAGATTTTTCTGAGCAAGCACAATGCACACCTGAAAAAAGAACAGGAAAAAGAAAATTATTTAATATAACCAGCATAATTTAAAATTGGTAATAAAGATTGAGTGGAGTTCTTAATTTTGTCCTAAATTGCATCTTCCCGGAATATTTGTCAATATACCCTAAATTCAGAGCACATCAACACACTACAAACATAGAACTGGAACTGCCTTCAAGGTAAGAGACTGACAGATTCTGATGTAGACAGAGATCTGCCAATCACCTAACGGCTCATTTTTTTTCTATGAAGAACCTTCATGAACATATGTTTCACGCTTATGCCATCTGCATATTTAGATTATATTATCTCTACAAATCAGTAAAGAGGCATAAAGCAAAGCTCTGCAGAAAGTATTATGTACTGTTGTGTACTGCCTTATATAAAAGGAGCCGTAGAAAGTGTCCCTAAGAGTTAGTGCTTTTTATAAAGATTAGAGATCCTTATTTGAATATATGGAGAGTTTTGTAAGCAAGCATCAGCCACAAAGAAAACAAAATATAAGTACATTACATTTTTTATTACTTTCTCATGAATTACAGAACTGCAATACAGAGAATCAAGCAAAGGCTTTTTATTTAACTTGAATTTGTTTCATGTTGTGCCAAACATAATTTGGATAAGTATTTATTTTGTTATAATTCTCCTTTGTATTTTTCAGTTTTTGCATTTACCTTTAGATTGAACAAATACAAATGGTTGAAGGTCATCTGCACACTGTCCTGCCATTAATGACTTACTGTGGTATCGCTTCCAACTGTTCTGTCATCTGTCTTCATCACTATGAACTCCATGAGGCTGGGTTCTCCTCCCACTGTTGTCTGCAAAAATAGAGTTCCATCATAAATATAAGTAATATAATTCAGGGCTTTTATTTTCAAAAAAAATTAGACTAACAGAAAAGTGACAGTATCAAGGCAAAGGTCTTTCTGCTAGGTCAGAGGTGAGTATCAAGAGGCTCACTGAAAGTGCCCAGAAATATTCTTTTCAAAAAAGCTATGGAATTTCACAGAACTGTGATTGTCTGAAGCCTAAAGAGTCTCCAACCATAAAAAACTGTAAAGATACATTGATCTGTATATGTTCGTTTTCTACAGTGGAAGAAAACGTTTGTCATGCATGGCTCCTGTTCATTCTTAAAGACAGGGATCTGTAAACCAAGCATATTGGTTCCTTAATTAGTTGCAACATGGAGTTCAGTAAAAACTACCTATATGCATGAGCATCCACCTATTATTAATGAACTATCAATAGTATAATTAGCTCCTCGCTAGGAAAGTGAAGGGTAAATTGACAGGGAATGGTAAAACAACAGTGATGGCGCACATAAAAACAACCATTATGGGAGATCATGGTTGAGCCTTCAAGCTTTATATAGTTACTCTTAGAAATCCTGAGCATTCTCAACAATAAAAGTTGGTCCAATACGTAAACACTAGAACTGTAAAGAGAGTTTACTGATTGACTGATTGATTTGATTTAAACTATAGCAGTATCGAACATTAAGCAGAGAACATTTTAATGTTATTTAAGCTTTTTTTCCCATATCCTGTGCTTATAATTCTGAAACAAACATCTAACTGGTGATGATATGGATTTAATTTATAACTGTCTCTCTTCTGCTTTTCCTCTCACATTAAGAACATTCATACATGACACAAACAATAAGAGAGAGAGGTACACTTTTAAATATAGCTTCCATATAATTTGCTCATGGACTTAAAACCCAGAGGAGCTTCTTACCACTCTGATAGTATCTCCTTCATGGTTGCTAATTGTTACCAGTTTGTCTTCACCACCTAATGCTATAAATTTCCCACCGCTCCAACAACCACATGTGATCCGCTTGGTGTGCTTACCTAGTAAAACATTATTACCACAGAAAATTATAATAAATAGTTTTGTGCTCAGGAGATATTAAAAAATACTTGGAAGTGAAAAACATGTTTTAAACTACAGTTATCATAGTAAACTTGCCTAGAAAATAAATACAGTTTTCTAGGCAAATATCACTTAGCCAAGTGTTGTAAAAATGCATGTGTTAAGTAAACAGACATTCTTCTATTATATACGGTAAATATTTGCACTAGAGATCAATTAACTAGAAATTTACCAACATTAATACATTTCTGCTTTTATTTTTGCATTTTTAAGCACACTGAGTTTATTATGGTACCGACCGAGGATAGGAATCTTGCGAGAAGTTTGGCGATTATATATCAGTACATTTCCTTTAGATGTTCCAGCAGCAAGTAAGGCTTCAGCTCTTGACCAACGCAGAAAAGACATTGGTTCCCTGCAACACATAAACACACAAATGCTGCAGTCCTGTAATAGATTAGGAGTCCCAATGCACTGAACAGGATTTACCTTCAGATAAGAATATGACTGCTCTCACTTTCCTATTGATACTTATTCAGAATTAATTTTCAAGGTGTTTGATATTTCAGTGGTTTAAGTATCTTGGTGTGGAGTCAGAAGTTGTGAGTTCAATTCCCTAGTGTGCCTCTTTTGATTAGAGTCAGCACGTGTAGCCTTGGCCAAGCTGTACAGTCCCAGAATGTCCCCAGAATAAAGGGATGGTAAACCACCTCTGAATATTCTCTGGAAAACACCAAAAAGGGTCACCATATGTAAGAAATGACTTGATGGCACATTATTATTAGCTAGCTGGGTAGCTCAGTGAGTTAGGTATCTGCAGAGTCAGAATTTGGGAGTTCAATTCCCCATTCAGCTTCTGGGGAGTAAAGCCATTCTGTGTAAGAATTGGGCAAGCTGAACAACCCCAGGGTGCCCCCAAAAGAAGGAATGGCAAACCAGTCCTAGAGAATCCTGGAAAGGGTCACATGATTCAGAATTGACTGGAGGGGACACTATTATTGTTGTTGTTGTTAAATGTTTATACATATACATCCGTAACTATCCATTATAGCACTATAGTGCTACACTCAATATGCCAACAAGTTTGGAAAACTCAGCAGTGGCCAGAGGATTCAAAAAGATCAGTCTACATCCCAATCCCAAAGAAGGGAAGTGCCAAAGAATGTTCCAACTACTGTACAATTGCACTCATTTCACACGCTAGCAAGGTTATGCTCAAAATCCTACAAGGCAGGCTTCAGCAGTATGTCGACCGAGAACTCCCAGAAGTACAAGCTGGATTTCAAAGGGGCAGAGGAACTCGAGACCAAATTGCCAACATGCGCTGGATTATGGAGAAAGCCAGAGAGTTCCAGAAAAGCAGCTACTTCTGCTTCATTGACTACGCAAAAGCCTTTGACTGTGTGGACCACAGCAATCTATGGCAAGTCCTTAAAGAAATGGGAGTGCCTGACCACCTCATCTACCTCCTGAGAAATCAATATGTGGGACAGGAAGCAACAGTTAGAACTGGATATGGAACAACTGATTGGTTCAAAAATGGGAAAGGAGTATATTACCATCAAGAAGGAGATTCAGGGTATTGAAAGCAAGGACAAGCAGATTCAAGAACAGCTTCTACCCAAGTGCAGTATTGAGTTTAAATGCGGGGTCATAAGTTTTTGGTGGAATTTTAATTGCTGCGAGAAACAGGGTATCTATATTTGTATGGTGAGTGTTGTGTATATTTTAACTTTTTTGTAGTGGTGTTGTCCAGTTTTACCTTGGGGAAGAGCACCTCATTTCGTTGCACCCACTTGTGAGTGCAATGACAAATAAATTTCTTATGTCTTATGTCTTATATTGTCCCCCTGCTTATTTAATTTATATGCAGAATACATCATGCGAAAGGCTGGACTGGATGGATCCCAAGCCAGAATTAAGATTGCCGGAAGAAATATCAACAATCTCAGATATGCAGATGATACCTCTCTGATGGCAGAAAGTGAGGAGGAATTAAAGAACCTTGTAATGAGAGTGAAAGAAGAGAGTGCAAAAAACGGCCTGAAACTCAACATCAAAAAAACTAAGATCATGGCCACTGGTCCCATCACCTCCTGCCAAATAGAAGGGAAAGATATGGAGGTGGTGACAGATTTTACTTTCTTGGGCTCCATGATCACTGCAGACAAGGACAGCAGCCACAAAATTAAAAGATGCCTGCTTCTTGGGAAGAAAGAAATGACAAACCTAGACAGCATCTTAAAAAGCAGAGACATCACCTTGCCAACAAAGGTCTGCATAGTCAAAGCTATGATTTTTCTAGTAGTGTTGTATGGAAGTGACAGCTGGACCATAAAGAAGGCTGACCAAGTTGGACATGACTTAACGACTAAATAGAAACATAGCACTAAATCTTTTTAGTCCCTGGAACATGCAATCAGAAGACAATAACAGTATTCACCATTCACGTTATCCAATAGTAATGGCTTGTTTTATGAGGTATTTATGAGGAATAACAAATGAACATGGGATCTACAGCATTATTTATGAAAAAGGTCAGCCACATACCTAGAACTTCTTGTAAAAAAATTAGACTTTTGCTGCATTTCTGTCCTGTATAGGCAATGCGTACTCTATAAATCTCAACAACTTGCAGAAATCTCTAAATCCACGACTTCTGCAGAGAATTTCTTCTTTGTTGCCCCAATCCCTCAGTACCAGTAGTGGGCCCACCCACGCAAAGCATTTGTTCAACTTCCATTGCTCTCATGAAACTGGTACTACGTCCCAGTGTCCATATGACACAAGGCTGAAACAGTCAAAGCAGGACAAAAAACCCTACTCTCCAGGTTTTTTCACACTGCTGCCAGGCGTTGTTTTGTTGTTCTGCTTTGCTCCATTTTATTCCAATGAACAACCTGCTTGTGTGGACCCCAGTAATATACCAATGTGTACTGATCTGTGCACTTTGGGGTTGTGTGTCATTTGATGTTTCCTTAGAGAGTCACACCTTGCTATTGGCTCCTGCTTAGTTTTCTTGGGTATCAGTATATCCTGCATTTTGCTTTTTAACATTTTTGATGATGCAGCCTTTGCACCATAGCACAAAAGTGAAAAGAAAAAACAAAAAGAACTAAAAAATATCACAGCAAAAACATGAAGGATTGAAAACAGTGGTGTTGATGGTGGGGTAAAACAAGGAGGGAAGGATGAGAGACTGAAGTAGGCAGAAAGATGGCAGAGAAGATATCAGCTGTTCCTGTATTCTACTTAATTTTTTAAATGATAATGATTTTGCACCCTAGCAGATTGACCTGCTTAAGTAAGTTATTCTTACCTCATGCTGGTATCCATCAGTGTAGTTTTGTTTGTGTTAGCATCCCACAGATAAATGGAATTGGACTTTTCAGCAATTATGGCTAGGGTATCTCCATCTTGATCCCAGTCCATGGCAATGCAATTGCTAAGTTAGCACAGAAAATATTAACCAGATGCTCTAAAATAAATCTTGGGTAGAAAATATTAAACAGAGTGGAAACAGAAACTCTACTTGATTCCCTGACTTGTGCCATTCTTTGAAGAAAACATCAGTTTCCCATAGTTCTGATTTCTCCTAATTGTATAACTTTCTCCCAGACCATTACTGAAGACACTAATGAGATGAAAAGTGGGCCCACCCACACAAAACATTTGTTCTACTTCTCTTACACCCATGATAATCTAGATTTGTAGATAAATCATTTCCCATGCTTTCATTCAAATCTTATTTTGCCTAAGTGACACATTTCAATTTTACATAGTAGGAATCTGTTTTCAGACTTACCCTTGTAAATTAATTTCATTTTTCTTTTGACCATGGCGATCAAAGATTTTTACAGTGTGATTATGTCTAAATAAAGAAAAGATGAGAATAAGACTTTAACTTAAGATGACAGACATATCTCATATATATGAAATATATATAAACTACTTCTCATGACAAAATATGATTCCTCTGCTTAGTTAAACATATTTTATAGTCACAAACTACTGTATTTTTCTGTGTATAAGACACCTTTGTGTATAAGACACACACCCCCATTTTTCTAACCCAAAATTTCTTTCTTCGCAAGAAAGTGGAGGGGGACAGCAGGAATCAAAGCGCTTTGATGATTCCTGCTTTCCCCCTCCACTTTCTTGCACTTTTTTTGCAAGGAAAGTGGAGGGAGAAAGCACTTTCCTCACAAGAAAGTGGAGGGGGAAAGCAGGAATCAAAGCTTTGATCCCTATACCTCCTTACTTCCATGTATAAGACGACTCTCAATTTTTAATCTAAATATTTTAGACAAAAGTATCATGGAAGAATACAGTACATACATGCATGCAGCATTAACATTTTAGAATACTTAAATTTTTGACATCTCACCCTGTAACAGCAATGTAGTTTCCTAATGTTTTTTGCCAAGCAAACTGAACAGGGGAACTAGGTGCATCCTTTTCTGACAGAGTAAATACTCGCTGTGGAAAGAAAGAATGATAGACTTGTGAAGTATATGTTTTTGACATGTACTGTAGGTATTTACAAAAGACATCTAATCTAGTAAAAAGAGCATTCCCAACATTCTTTCCTAAAAGTATCAGTAAGAAAGATACTAAATTTTGATGTAACTACACAGACAGCTCCCACTGTATAGTATAAAGCATATGTGCAGTAGTCAGGCATCATCACAGGAGAATTTTTCCAGAGACAGTTGGGATAACAACATGTAGGATGTAAGCTCTGGTGGTTTCCCTTCAGTTTTGCCCATCACAGTGAGCTCCTTTCATTGAATACATTGGCATATTTAGGGGACACATTATCCCGAAAGTTTTTCCTGAAGAGGAGCTGAGGCAGGAGGTGAGCTGTGTTTGGGAGGACATTTTATTTGGTGAGGTAACTTCTTCTAGGCTGACCTTTGTTCTCCCACATGGTCTGAGGGGGCTGGGTTTTGGTTTTAAATGTGCGCTGGCAGAAGCTCTGAGCCCCTCTGATTCTATTTTTGACTCTAATCTGGTAAATAGGAAAGCCAAATAGCATTGCAAACACCTGGGGGGCAGGACGGTTTTAGGGGTAGAATCGGACTTCCTCCCTTTTTAAATTCACTGACGAGTCAGTCGAGATGGAGAGTGCAGGATCTGCGGTATTTGTAACACCTGTGGCATGTTTGTGGCTATATCTACTGATGGAAAAAGCTTCAGCAGTTAACCTCGAGGCAAAATCCGGAGCCAGAGTCCCGGAGGCAGTTCAAGTTGGTCTGGTAACTCTTGCGATGTAGCTGGAACCATCTGTATTGGATCTTGCCTTTCCATTGGACTATTTCAGCAATATGGAGAGGGGAGATTTGCTGCTTGGTAACAGCCTATCCTCCATATTATTTTACCCAGGCTCTGGAAAGGACACTCCAGCTTCACATACAACGTCGAAACAACACGGGAAGTAGCAGTTAC